CTCCCGTTTCCGCGTTCTTGCCTTTACGGAAAAACCCTTCTTCCTGTGGCGAGGCTAATCCTCTACCACGCGCCCCCAAATAGATGTCACGAGGCACGCTTGCTAATACGTTACAATAGAATGTCATCTTTAATAATTGTGAGCCACGAGGTCAAACTGTCATTCTGACTCTTTAATATTTAGATGTCATTTGCTAATGACATTACCAACGTGAACATTAGAACGAGAGAATGCCGAGGGGAAAGAAGGAATCCCTTACAATCAACACCTATTCGTATAAAGAATGAATATAATATGGAATTTGGGGTTCACGTATTCTGTCATGTATTTTATGATGATTGCAAAGAAGAATTTCCTTTCCATCAAGTGCAAAAGATACTCGCCTTCAAACTCACAGCAACGAAAAATTCACCTTTACTAACAATGAGGTTGAACTTTTTACAGACCTGCAAAGTTACGAACAACCCTAAACACTAGTTTCTTCACTATTTCTCGCTTCCTTGATTAATTCTTAGAGCAGATTCCCCAAGCATTTACTTCACGCAAGTGAAGAATCGCACGAGGCGACTATACCGAGCTAGCCTGGGAAATGAAAAATGTGCCGACTGAGGTGCCGTCGCCGCTCGCACAGCTGCTCTGCAAAGGCTCCGGTGCCCACTCATCCGCGGCGCGCCGCCGCGCTCACCGCGCCCAGCAACCCAGGCGGAGCAGACTACGCGACCCACTAACCTTTCAAGGTCTCGTCTTCGCGAATGCGCACGCTGCGACCGGACGCGTTCAGAGGAAGACACCTCTTGGTTTACTGCGAGAAGCAGATAAACCATATTTCTCACTTTCGGCAACACGAGAGCGTGCTTCATGGCACTGGTTTGCTCAAGTAAAAATGTACGGTCCGGAGAATGGTATTCCAAATAGTTTTCTATTTTTGTAACGAAAAATGTCGTTAGGTTTCTCATTTGTGTGCGAAATATTAGATCCGACAATTTTCGTTCGTTACTCTTCTCTAGTGAGAATTAGTACCAACATTTCTAGTACCTATATTTCTTATAATTCCAAACAATAATTTCATATTTTCGATAATTATATTAATGAACACTACTTGCTCGTCTAACACTGAGGCTATCACCATTGGATTATTTGTTAAATAGCGTCATCACCCAGCACCCGTCAGCATCACCTAGGAAATGCCAACTAGCAGAATGCATGAACAACAAAGAAAATTGCCACAGTCCTGCGCGAACCAGACAGTGGAAACGCTGTAGCACCTAGTACGTGTTGTGCGCGGTTATGAAACGCGTCCAAAGGCCACCGCCACCCGCAGAGGCCCCGCAAATTGTGCCGCTGGCTGCCTGCCTGCCGCTTCATTCCCACCCCCCACCCTCGCCGAGGGAAGGACGCACGCCGCAAGAGCAACCTGAAAAACTATCCCAGAAGAAATCAAAGGACGCCTCAACGAGCCCATCACAACGCGCAAGCGATAAGCTCATTATGTTCTGCCTGTCATATCCAACCCTGATAACATACTTCACTGAAATAGTCCATACGCGTAACTGGCATTACTTGCCTTGTTTTGAAGGGACAGTGATCGTAATATGAGTCTAGTGTTTCCAGCGTAGCAACCAGATAATTGAAAATGCTGAAAACGTCTTAATGCACCTTCGGAAACTACTTCCGTTTCCTCTTCGGGAGCAAGGATGCTCAGCGGACTCCCCTCTACGCTTAATGGAATTACGACTGTTCGAAATTCCTCGAAGGTGCAGGACATGGAAGTGCTTTTACGAAACAGTTGACATGAGAAACTAAAATTCGATAAATGAAAAAAAAATATTGGCCAACTATTTACACGTTTCCGTGGAAACTAATATTGTGAATAATGAGACTTTTTTGCGGTTCGTTAATACCAATTTGTTTGTGTTAAATGCTTTACTTAATAGGAAATTTCGCTAATTTAAACACTGATTGATAGAAACACGTTATTTTGCATTGGCTGCACAATAATCAGAACTAACGTTTCAAACGTTTGAAAAATTGTTAATAAATTTATCGTTAACAAAAAACGACTTCCGTCAACATCTAGAGTAATGAAAATAGCGAAAGCCGATGATTACTAATGAAGCTAAATTCACCGAAGGGTTGAGTCTTAATAAAGAAATTACCTTGACACTACAAACGCCAGAAATCGAATCTTCAGGCAATAATTACAAAATAACACCGAGCACCCTTCGCCACTGTCTAATCGGAACGTAAGACCGTTCACCCCACCTTCTCCTTTGCGCG